ACTCTAGAGAGTAAAGGTAATTTCATTTTCCTTGTATGTCTTGTACATATGAAGAAAGTGACAATAAAAGCTGACTTGAAAATCGGACTAAATCAGAAAATAAACCAGAGTGATTGGCTGTACGGAGAGCAGCGACAGAGGAAAATCAGAGTTTATTAAAACCTGCTACCGACCAAGTTAGCTCTGGGGAGATTGTTACTACAGTGAATGAAACAGATTTTGAGGAAACTCTCTATGTTAAATGGAAAAGTCCGAATTTTCAGGTTTAGACAACTTAGAGTTGTCAGTAAACCCGCTTTATGAGACAGAGCCCTGGAGTTTGTGATCCTCCTTTGTTAGGCTATTTATTTCTCAGTCATGCAGCTTGCCTAGGCCAGTTCTTCTTTGTCCTTTGAGTCAAGCCTTCCAGCCTATTTGAATTTGAAATTAGCTTTCTAGTCATTTATTGACCCTGCTTGTTTTTGGACCGTTCCCTTGCTCTGTTTTTTCTACTCCTGCTTACGTTGGATTTTTGGTGTTTGACCCCAGTATATTACAAGAACTTCATTCCACTGTGTCAGGTCACTTAACAGCGAAACTACAAGCAAGTTGAAGTCTGTCGCTCTAATCTCCTTGGTTGTCAAAGCTAATTTTAAATTGTAATCAGCTTTGCTCAAATGTGTACCTTTCCAATCACACTCATTTCTTCTACTGACCTTTGCCTTCCTTGTCTTGGACACAGCACACTGTAAGCACCCAACTTATTTAGCAATGATCATATGCGGAGTATAATCCTTGTAAAGATCGTCAGACTGCTTAAAAACATCAGACTGAGTAGTTTAATCTATATTTTTTTAGGCCATAAAATGCTATTTTGTATGAAAAATATCTTTTCAATGTACGTCTGGCGCCAGCAAGGAGCAGGACGCCTTTTTCCAGCAGCTCCCTTAATTTTTCCTGAGTTTTTGCTATTTTGATCTATCTTTTATTTTTTTGTGTTTTGGTGTGGCTGTCATTTTTAAGATAGATAATTGTCTGACCACTTTTTATATAATATTTTAATGCTGAAAAAAACCACAATTTCCCCATTGTGGGACAATAAAGAGATTTGCTATACTATATTATGCAATATTGCAATTTCAAAAGAAATAGAGTTTTCTTTTAAGCTGTAAGGCATAAAATGATTTTTAAGAAATACATATGAGCATTACTTTTTCTTTTGAATTGCTAACATAATGAGGAAGCACCCTTATACCTTATTCATTCTAAAAAAAAAAAAGTTACTTTCAAATTTGGTATAAAGGAGGATTTAAAAAAGTATATTTTCTTTGCTCAACATTGGGATTCTTTTTATGAATTTATGAGAAAGACTAGTGTTGCTTTGGTGCTCACAAAGTGCTCTAAATACAGGAAGCTTTGGAGCTTAGCATTTTAGAAACCCCAAGCATGTCTTTCGAGTCCCATCTGGGTCTTATTTCCAAGTTTAGAGCTTTTTCAGGCTAAATAGATTGAGGTCATCTTCTATTGATGTTTTAAACACAAAAAGATTTAGAAAAGAATAGGAGAAGGTCTGGATAACCTAAATTGCATTTTAAATCTCATATTTACCCATATACACATATTACCATTAACCTATATCCTGCATTAATAAAATAATTTAAATCAGCATAAAGGTGGCATTGAGGTTGTAATTAAGTTGAACTAAGTCGACCTAAGGTAGATGTCGACTCTGTTTTTGTTGGTTAGGTCTTGTTTTGGAAGTGCTTTGTTTTAGCAGAATGAGTCATAATACTGAGTCATCCAAGAAACACATAAACACCAGACATGAGATGCATTACAAAACTCTTTTATAACTTGTCAGAAATAATTAGCCCCCAAAGATTTTTCAGGATTTATAATGCATTTCTTTAGACCCATATTCTACCTTAGATTACCTCAGTGTAAAAACATTTTGGTAAAGGTTACATCAACTTACTGGCAGCTGGAGGCCACTAAGTAAACAGCAAAGCGTTTACAGTGTTGCTGCTATTATACTTACAGGCAAAAATAAACAACTAGCTAATTTGCACTATTGCTTACTTTAATTTAAATCACAGCTAAATCACTATAATAATTATTTTGTATTTTGACTATGAGTTGAGTGATACAAAATTTCACTGCAGTAAACACTAACCATTAAAAAATCCAGTAACACACTATAAAATTCATAGCAAATCCTACAAATATCAAGAGGTGTCAAAAGTATTCATGTTTCTTACTCAAGTAAAAGTATAAATCCTACTGTTTCAAAATGCTTTTGAAAAAGTAGAGTATCAACTTAAGCTTTTTACTTAAGTTAGAGTGTAAAAGTGCCATTTCTAAAACTACAGTATAAAAGTAAACGTAATACAGCAAACATTTTAAGGGAAGATGCTTTAACCTTATACTGTTTTTGCGTCACTGTATTAAAGGAACATTTTTCTACAATTCAGGATAATAATTTCCTTATACTTAATTTTCTTATGTTTATAACTAATGGTAACAGTGTCAAATTGAACTTTGCATCATCTTGACTATTTGCTATTTACAACTATTTATTGTGGCATGTGGAAAACAACAAGTTGGTGCAGTGCCGATTCCAACCACAAAGAAATGTATCGTCTGGATTAAAAAACTTATTTTGATAGGTTTTATTTTTTTCTAAAATTCCAACAGATCATAACAAAAATGAGCTTAAATGAAACAAAACTAAGAAGTCATTTTGCTTTTTTTATGTAAGGAGTAGAAAGTAAAGATGATTGCAAAAAGAATTTAAGGAGTAGAAGTAAAAGTTGTCTAAAAAATAAATATTCCAGTATAGTATAAAAAGCCAAAATTTCTACTTAAGTAAGGTAACAAAGTATTATTACTTTGTTACTTGAAACCTCTGCCAATATCACAACAGTGGGTGGTTTCTTTGGACGTTATTAATAAATAAAAGTTGACAATCCTCATAAGAGAAGTCATGGTGCCAAATGCTGAGACGGCACTATCAGAAAGGGGCCATCATTTGGTGACCTGACCTGGACCCTCTGCAATAAATCACTCCCAAACCATAACACTTGCAGCTATATACATCACAGCTGGTCTGAGATTCTTCAGCTCAAACGTTCTTCTTTATTTATATCAATATGGCCCCTGTTTAATTTAATCTTAGATTTAATTGGATCTCATCATAGCTCTCTTTGGCAAACCTTAGCTGGGTCGGAGTGTTTTTCCTAGAAAGCAAAGCTTTTCTCTTAGCACACCTTCAATAATAGTTACATTTGTAGTCTCCTTCTGATTGCATGGAAATGTGCTTTCATATCTACCGTAAAAACAAGTTGCTTTATGTTGCGTATGGTGGCACATTATGGTCTTTAATTAACTTTTTTTTTTTTTATCCAGACCTGATGGTATTTCATTAAAGTCACTGAGAAAAGTCAGACTTAGGCTACATTCAGACTGCAGGCCTTGATGCTCAACTCCGATTTAATTTTTTTGTGAAATCCAAATTTTTGCATTGCCATTCACATTTCCAAACATATGCAACTTGTATGTGATCTCCTCTGTGAACTGCAGTCATACAACGCAAGTGTCCTGCATGCGCAGTAGAGGACACAATGAGATCACAAGTAAGCGTGCTCTGTGTTTACTGAAGTAAACTTGAATGTAGTGCCGGAGCGCATCTAGCAATCTTTCCCAACCATAAAACCACAACCTTTTCAAGATGGTTAAATATAAATACTGCTCTCCACATAATCGTCCGCCATGGTTGTTTTTTTTCTTGCAAGACCCAGAATAGTGACCTTTGTCTGGTATTAATGGCTTTCAGGTCGGATGAATGCGACCTGGCCGTTCAGACACAGGTCGCATTTGAAAAGATCAGCTTCGTATCAGATTTTGGACCACATAGCCAAGTTATGAGGTTCCACATATTTTTGACAAAAGTGGAACCTCATACTTTATCAGTAAGGAGTTCCCCAACCTGATGCCTATATGGTTTAAACAGGGTGGGATTCAGTCATCATTGCATGTGGTATTCCAAACATTAGCTGAACTACACATATATATATATTTATATATATTTATATTTATATATATATATTTCAAGCCTTAAGTTAAAAGAGGTTAAACTAAGTAGATTGCTCCCAGGAAAAGAACTGGGAGGGAAGCTCAGAGGCACAAACTTCAAAACAATCCAATCTAGATCCATCTACTGCTAATTATATTGTACTGTGCCGTGTAATTTTGATTATTATTAACATATTAACATTTATTTAGCTATATATATGAATTTATTTGATTGAATTTTAACGTTGATCATGTCACCTTTGCCACTCACAATATGGCAGCTAGGCGTCGTTAAGTCAGTAGTCTTATTTTGAAATTACAGACCCGGAAACTTACCATTATTTTTTTTTTTCTTTTTCCTCTTTCCTCTTCTGTACATAGGAGATTCCACTATGGCTCAAAAAGTCCAGAAACTTGTAGCTAAAGTTCCCACACTTCTGAGTGGTAAGTGAACGCAGCTGTCTATTAACAGGTATGCGATTAATTAAAGCATAGAAGGAGGAGGGTAGGGTCTGCGTTGTTACAGTTTGTTACACCTGCACAGGTTCTCTGGGTGACCTCTGCTTGCCTTCACCTCATGTTTAAAAGTAGATAACTCTGCTGCAGGTTTTTGCAGGTTATGTTTCGATTATTACTGAATAAACAACTCTATCGCGTTTTACCTCTGTAATTAAACTAGTGTGTGTTTTTAATTGCAGCCGCTGTCACATACTCCAAACCTCGGCTTGCGACCTTCTGGTACTACGCCCGGGTGGAGCTGATCCCTCCGTCCCCTGCTGAGGTCCCCAAAGCCATAGAGGCCGCCAAGGGTCTGATCAGGAGCTATCAGACAGGACGCCTCACACAGATCACAGTTAAAGTAAGTGCTAAAAGAAACATCCCAAAACCTTTAATGAAATGGATTTAATAAAGATGTTCTCCAAAGCTCACTGTAACTTATTCATCTAGTAGAATTAAAGGACTTTAAATGTATTAGTTTTTTCTACGCATATTTTTATCACTACTGTAATGGGGACTGGCTAATGGGGATCCTTAATAAAATTACAAAATTACTACTGTCAGTAACTCCAGAAGTCACTGTAAATATGTTTGTAGTCAGTAGATTGAGGTTAGCATTGCAGGATTCAAAAACCTATTTACATATTGCATACTTTGGAGATGGCCAAATAATTCACAGGTGACTAGTGACAATGTTTTTTAATAACCTGTTCTGGGAGCAAACAATATATGGTTCTTAATATAAAGCATGGGATTAATGATTAGACGAGTCACCATGACAACAGACAACAGGAAGTGCCTTTTTCACCCTAGTGGAACTACAGATTTTAATCCAGAAATGCAGAGAAAAAGCGCTACAGCTACAAAGGAGAGGAAAGTGATGAAGGAGAAGATTGTTGCTTGAAATAATGCATAAGTTTATATGAAGTTGGCTATTTTTACATTTATTAAAAGCACTCCTCTCCATTCTTCCATTTGTAGATCATTAAAATAGGATTCTTCCTCCTAGACCTGTAATAATATATTTTCTAAATTACATTTTTGTTGCAGAAACAGATTTTTAAAAAGTAAAAGAAAATATATACTAGTAAGAATTAAGTTATATATATCAAGAAATGTTTACACATTTTAATTGGCCATTCTGACATTTATCAGCTTGACTGAAATTTTATCTGAAAAAAATGTTTTCATAGTTAAAATAATACAAATGCTGACAAGTAGTAAGAATATGGAGATCTGAAATTCCTTTATAGACATTCAGAATGTTTATTCTAGATGTGGAGAATGTAATTTTGCTTGAAATGGTCATTTAGACAAAGAAAGTTTTTTTTTAGGTATCAGGAATACATATTCAGTAAAACTAGTACAGATCATAACGGCTTGCCATAGTTGTTACAGTAAAAATATTACGTTATTATTTCTTGAATGGTAGTAGATCAATGTCTCTATTTAGGTGAAATCTTCTGGCAGCAGGTGAGTATGAAGAATAAAAACGTTCTAGTATATAGAACATTTTGTACACAATAAAGTGGCTGTTGGCTGACAAATGGCCATAATAAGCGGCTATCAAGCCCAAAGAATGGATACAGATTATGCCAGTAGGCTCATTAAATTGTTATAATCGAGTGAATCCTAATCCTAAAGTAATTCCTCTTTTCCCATGGAATTATTGAATCTATATATGTGTAATCTGACAATAACTTCAGCAGTTCTTCATGTACTGTAAATATAACTACATAAAAAAAAAATTATCCGCATCTCACTCATATTAAACAAAACCAAAAACAAGTAATCTCATGCCCTGTCAACTGATTTGTAGAATCCTCTCCCTATAAATATTTAACTCTCTGTGAAAAAGTGCAGATCATTTCTTAACAAGAACCTCATCAGACATGCAATGTTTGTTTTTAAAACCTAATGTGTGTAACAGACCTAGTGACTTATATATATATATATATATATATATATTATTATTTTTTTTTTTTTATGCACAAAACTACGAAAAAAATGTGACTAAATCAGGAAATAAAACAGCGTAATTGGCTGTAAGGAGAGTGGAGACAGAAGGCACTCCGAGTTTACTGTGGAGAACCTGACCAGGTTGGCTCTGGGGAGAATGTTACCACGGTGACTGAAACAGAGGTTGAGCAAACTCTTTTTGTGAACCAGAGAAGTCAGAGTTTCCCTGTTTTCAAATTTAGACAACTTAAGAGTTTTTGGTAATCCTTGTTTGTGACATGGAGCCCTGACGTTCCAGAAAGGTTTGTGAAAAAATGAATTTCTTGAAGAGATAACAGTAATATATTATTAACTATGAAGGAGCAAAGAATATTCAACCACCTCGAGCCTATTTGATATTGCATAACAAGTAGCGCAAAAAAATAAATCATATTTCTCTTAAACCACCCAAACAAAAGAGAAACAAATAATAACCTTACAATAACAACAATAATAATAACACAAATGTTTTGCTTTTTGAAGAATGGGCCTGTATTGAAGCACTGTTGTTTTTCCAACTAAAAATGTTTTTCTTTGCTCTGCTTTAGGATGCCTTGAGGAATGGACTGGTGACCACTGAGGTGCTGATGTGGTTCTTTATTGGAGAGTGCATTGGCAAAGGGGGCCTGATCGGATATGATGTCTAATGAATGAATTTCCTGTTAACTGACTTCTGAATGTACTATTGTCAACAAATTCCACCTCATTTTCAAATAAAATCATGGAATCAGTCTTGGGTTTTTACTTTCATTACATGTTTGGCTACACTGTCTTTACAGAAGATTTACAAAATAAAGTACAGAAAAACAAAAACCAAAAGGAGCAGCTTACGTTTGGAAAATATCAGGTTTACAAACATTATCTTCATTGACATCTCTTTAGAGCTGTAATAAAACAGCTTGCATCAAATAAAATAGATTTTACTGCTATGTAATGATGGACATCTCCTCTCGTTCTCGACTCTCAGACATTGCTTTTACAACGTCTCCCAGGTATCCGTAGAAAGCATGCCGCAAATCCTCTGGCTGTTCTTCCAGGTTGGAGTGAATTAATGGCAGCCTGCTCAGATTTGGTGCTGGAACATTAAAAGAAGAACACCCATTAGTCCAGAAAACACCCAATAAGATGGGGAATAGTGTGAGAAGGATTACCTAAAGGCAGTCGACCACCTTCTACCTCACTCCCAGGCTTGTGGTGAGCTATTAGTAAACACTGGCTATCCTGCAAACTTTGGGTGGAGATGAACATGGCATGCCACGTCTCGATTTCTTTAAGGTGACTTGGAACATCAGGGTTGAAAATGATCACCACCCCACTGCTGTCCTTTATAATTGCGGGCCAGCAGGATTCAAACCTGCAAAATAAAATTAATTGGTAAGTTTCATGTTGAGAAAAAAAATGTATTGTCATGGTAAGATTTAAACAGGTCGACTAACTTAAAATCCCCTGAACAGTCCCAGAGTTCAACCTCACAAGTCTTGTCATGGCTGCCCTCAGGATGGGCTTCAAATTCGAGGATCCTAGAGAGAGAAGAAAGCAGCTTTACTTACCATAGTTAAGTTGGGTTCAGTAATGAATCTGAATTTAAACAAACACATGTGTCCAACTTCTCAGGTAGTTTAATATAAATATATAACATTATGTTTGTTTCTATAAGGTGGTATTAACAGTTCAGAGTGTCTAAAGTGTTGTATTACATCTGATACTCTACATTTAAAACTAGAATTTTGTACCTGACTCCTCGAGTTGGTCTGTATTCCCCGCCCACGTCTTCTCTTGTGTCCGAAAGAAAGTTTGCAAGAACAGTTTTTCCACTCTGAAAAAGAGGCAGGTAGGAGACTTTAAAGAAATTAGAATAAATTAGGCAACAATAAAACTCTATAATGCTACTTTGTTTGCCATATGTAGCCAAGTAGAAATGCATTGAAGAACCTGACCTGCTGAAAGTAACATAGATTTAGGTTTTCTTTCTCAATATTAGGTATAGGTATTAGGTATAATTGCAGAATTTCTCATTTATTTGTATGTGTCAAAAACAACTTTAAAATAGCAGTGTAAGTGTTATTAAAGGAGAAAGTGAATCATATAGTCCTGAGCAGCTCCTTTAGTCAGAGACTTAGACACCCTGTCTGTAAGAAGGAGCGCTACCGCAGGTCATTTATTCCTGCTGCCGCCAGACTCTATAATAATGCACTATAACCACAATAACTCCTGTAAAAACCACTGTGCAGCTACATTATAGTTTTTTTGTTTTTTATTTATTGACTGTGCAATATTCTGTGCAATATGCTGAATGTGCAATATATGTGAATAGAATAGTCATACCACTACCTCACCATTGCTCCTTACCTACTACACTTTAACGTAAAAGTAAATCCACCTGTATATCCATAGCCATCCGGATTGTACATATTTTTATTTCTTATTTCTTTATTTATTTTTATTTTGTTTTTCATTGTGTGCGATACAGGTACACTTGCACCTTAATCCTTATTTACCTTGTTATACTGTATATACCTGGATATACTGTATATATATATATATATTGTTTATTGTTTATTCTTAATGCACCTTTTCCTCCTTGTTTTCACCTTCTTTGACTTCTATGCCAATATGTGACAAGTGAATTTCACCGCTGTGAGATCAATAAAGCTCATCTAATCTAATCTATAGAAAAAGCTTTCCTATTTATGTACTCAGAACTTTTTTTTTTTTTTTTACATAACTCACAAAGAACTCCCATCTGAAAAAAATATAGATATTTTTGCTGGTGTGGTTATGCAAAATCGGGTCGTTACCATTTGATGCATTACATAAACAGTAAAAAAAAAAAAAAGGTAATTTTGATATTCAATCTGTTGATCAACGGTTAAAGCCGACAGACAACAGCATTTAAAGTGGTTTTTACCAGGTGTATTGCAGAGAAAATACTTAATGCAAACGTGCTACTTTTTCCATGGCTGTGCATACAAACATCAAACAGATTTATAACATAATTTAGACAACTCTAAAGCTACAGAAAGCATCAGTCTTACCTCGTTAGGACCAACGAAGAGAATTTTTGCTTTAAACATTTTCACCACACGGGCATTAGCCTGTTTAGCTAGCTTACTACAGTGAAGCCCCAGCAACCCAAGGCCACTATACAAAAGGTAAATGCTTTAACTATGATAAATATAAGAAGCTTTTTCAGTTTAAACGGGATAAAACCTAATTAGCTTCGTAGCTGTTATAGGCGCTGTATAGATAGAGTAAACTTCCGCTTCGTTTCTATGGTTTCATCCAACCCCTTTTACCTCTCACGTTAATTGGCTGTTCAGGACTACACTTAAATTTAGTCCCGCCCCTTTTCCTGTCTAAAGCTCCAATAAGGTTCCGGTAAATGTTTTGCGTCTTACGTTGCATGAAAGCCAGCCAATCAGCCTTGGGTATGGCGAAGAAGCGTTTTGTAGTAAGAGGCGTCGATAACAACAGAGACAAAACGAAACAATGAGTAATTTTTAAGCTTTTAAAGCGAAAATTAGTATGGAACCATGTTTAGATTACCTAAGAAGAATACATGTGTTAGTGGTACTGCTAATGTGTTTAAGCTAACCAGCGTTTAGTCAGTGCATCGAAAAGTCTAGCAGCTGCAGGACCTCATCTGTTGCTATGTGTCGACCTTAGCGTCTGAGCTGGAACAAGTCACAATATCAAGGGTAAGGTTATTAACCGCATATTAGCAATGATGAAGTTCGTATAATAGCTGTATATTCTGCTTTAGCACTGACTTAGACATATTTATTTTGTCAGTTTATATACACAAGTGTAAACAAAAAGAAATGTTGTTAAGAACAGCTCTCTAGACAATTAATTTTTTTTTCAAGTGCAACCTTGAAAAATAGATGCATAAAAACAGTAATATAAACACATGACTTTATATTTACAACTCTAACATTTCAGTTTTTTATTATTGTTTTTATAATAAAATATAATAAACATAATAAAATACAACAAAATAACCCATTTTACATAACAGGTGGCTATGACTGGTGTTGTATTGTTTTAGTTTTTAATTTCAGGTATGTCTCCGGAGGGCAAACCCCAAAGTCCCCCTCTTGGTTTCAGCCCCACAGGGGAGGATTTTCCTCTGAGTCGTGGTGAACTAGAAAGCAGTGTTGTGCCAAAAGACAAACTGGCACACAGTGTATGGGCAAGAGCTGGGTCTGGGTGAGGCTATAAACAGCATGTACAGAAAAAATATACAAAAAAATGTAAAGGACTGTCAGATTCCTAAAGGTTTTCTCTCTTTTTCACCTCATTTTATTTTAGCCATGAATATGTCAGCAATGGGAAGAGGCCTTTTCTGACAGTCCTAGTTGATGCAGAAGCTGCTGCAAGCGCTGCAGCAATACAGCTTGTAGCTTTCAAAGATGCAATGGAAGATGAATTTGTGGTACGGTTCTTGTACGCTACTTTTTATAGCATCTGCCAAGCATCTGTCATTTTCTTTGAACAAGGTTGTTTGTGACTTGTGTCATTTTAGGGCTCTGGGAGGTCTACTAAAGACAAAAGCCAAATTGTACGACAGAAAGGGCTTTTGCTGGAAAAGTTGGAAGAATTTAAACGGCTAAATAAATCAGTACGACAGAAGCTGAAACAACTCCAAGATGCAGAGGTTAATACTTTATTTTTTTTATTATTACAATTTTCTAGTACTTAGTTTTACTTTTCTAAAGTCAAAACAGCAAAAAGAAAATGCAGACAATTTTTATTCATAGATTTTTGTCAAATTATATTTACGCTACCTTGTTTGCCTTATAGATATATCGAATTGATGCTGACAGAAAGATGGACACCTTACTGAAAAGAATCAGAAAGGCTGAAAGTGAAAATGAGGTAACCCCTTTCTTTGTTTCCTTTAGAAAAAACACATTGTAAATAAGGTGTAAGGATGAAAAAAAAAATGATAGAATTGTCTTTATTTTGTCCCATAAGCATTTAAAAAAAGATCTTAATGAGACCGAGCTGAGGATTGAGAAAATGATGGATATGAGGAAGGAAGAGCAGGTAAGCACAACTCTTGGTATCATACAAATTCTTCAGAGAAAGCTTGGGCCAGTTGCAGGTTTCAAGTTATACCAAGGGTTTAAAACTTCATGGTTTCAAAACCTTTAAAACTTTTAGTGGCACTGTCACTTAGAGAGTGAGGAAAAGAGAAAACAGATTTTTCTCAGCACTGCTCTCCCAATCTGTTCACTGATGCGCAATGTTGGTCAACATGATTATAGAAGGCTACTGCACTTTTCTTTTGTTTTAAATAAAAAAAATAAAAAAAAAAGCTTTCCATACATTTTGGTTGAAAAACATATCAAGGTAATGTTGTTTTTAAAACTTTGATTTGTGCAGAATGAGCTGCATTTTCTGCACAAGAATCAACTGAAGGTTGTCTACCCAAGCAGATAACTCGGAATGATCAACTTTTAATACTAGATGTTACTATGTAAACGACAAAATGGCCAAAAGTTCACAAGAATGACAGTCATGTTTGTGTGTCTCTATAAGCAGGTTTTATGTGGCAGCTTTAGTCCATGTATCTAAATTAATCCTGTAAATATTGTAATGATCAAATCGAAATAATTGGTGCTTATGTTTTAGATCACAAGTTAAAACAATATTATACATTTTGTAGCTGTTTTTGTAAATGTATATA